CAGAGCAGGGCAGGGCAGGGCAGGGCAGGGCAGGGCAGAACACCGTACAGGAAGTGGAATGGCGACAAATGCCGGCATAGCAGGATGTACTTCTTTAATGCAAGTGTGAAAGTGCATGAAGCACCTACACCCATATACTCGAATGATATTTGAGTGCATACATACATACATATATGTAAGGGGATTTGTGTGCAACATCCAAACACATGCCGCCACAGCGCAAAGATGCAAAGACAGGAGAACAGCAATGTAATGCGACAGCTTTATGAATTTAACAACAACGAGTTGACTTTGTCGCTTCCGAGCCGGTTGTTGTTGTTGTTGTTGTTGCTGCTGTCGCTTGCCTTGGCTTGACTTGCTCACTAGCTGACTGGATGGCGTTAAGTTGTGGCCATGAGCAAGCGGCGGCAGCAGTGCCAACTGCCTCATTTGGCACAAATGCAAACGGCATGCCGGTAGATAAAGTCGCAGGATACAAGTGTTTATGCCGATGCCAGCATAAATAAGTAAATATGTAAATACAAGGACATTTACAAAAAAACATATACACATTAGGGTGGAGCGAAAAAAATGTTGCGATTTCTAAACTCGAATAGTAGGTACGGAAAACCCTTAAAGTTTTAAATTATCTGTCGTATTATGGTAACTTTATACGTGTACCTTTTTTAAGATTTTCTGGAAATATTCTGAGTTAATGCATCGCTGATTTTTTTTAATTTTTTTTGTGCACGGAGCTTACTAAAGAGCCTTTTGAAAAAAGTATGCATAAAAATCCCATAATTTGTGAGGTTTTTCGAAGCTGCAAGGCTCTTGAGGCGACCGTAAATGTTTTTTTTTGTTTTTGTTTCACCCTAATACACAATACTTGTAGGTTTACGCACAAGTATGAAAGTCGTCTACTCATATGCTATGCCAAAGTTCCGACGCATGCAATAAGCATGAAATTCCTACTTAAGGCTTAAATGAGACAGCTCGGCAGATGATCCTGCATCCTTTGCATAAACAGCAAAAGGAATGAGTTTTATATGTATGTAAGTGTTTTCTGTGCATTTATTTTTTACTTTTTTCCTTTTGACTGCTTTGGTAACAGGGAAACCGCATGCAATTAAACTGATGGCAGATTTGCTGTATTCAGCTGTGTTTTTTAGTCACAAATATTCATGCAAATAAACATACATATGCACGTATGAGAATGTGAAGATTATTGAAGTTTTTACAAAAGCAAGACCAAGAACAAAAAACACGCTGAGTGCTTGTAAAACACACAAATGCAAAACAATTTCTGCTTGCAGCTGGGAAAAGAGTTAGTGCAAAAAAAATATCAAAATAAATATGTTTGTATGTATGTAGCTAAGGCAGTAAAGGCAGAGCAGCCTCTGGCTATGTGAGTTATTTGCAGCAATGCAATTTGTGCAACAAAGAAAAAATTCTAGCACAAAAAAGAAGATACAAAATGGGGTAGCAGGCGAAATTACATTTATTTGCAAGTTAACAGGCGGCAGCAGTTGATTTGTTTGTTTTGTTGTCATTTTTGTTTTTGTTTTTTTTTGTTTTGCTTTGTTAAGTTTCACTGTAAGCTGCGTTACCATGGCTATGCTGCTACTGCTGTGGTGCAAAGAAAAGTTCTAAATTCTACCTCAAATTGGTGCTAATGCCGGTGCATGTCGAGCCAAATGCTGCAAAGTGACACATAAATACATATGCATTTATATGTGTATGTATGTGCGTTGAGGTTGGGTGTGACAGTGGCAGGATTAGTGTAGGGATCATAGCATATATTTTAGATAATTTACATATATTGAAATTCTTGTGGATTAAATAATTTTGATTGCTTAAGAGCGCATTAGGGCAGAATGTTTTTGAAAAGACAGGAGCTTCATAAATATTTGCCCGATGCGCACAGGAATTTAAAAATTCTCATTGATTATCACACATTTGTATTTCCCCACATTGTACTTATGTAGAAATTTTTGTATAAACTACAACATTGCTTTATGCTACAACAATAAATCCGCCCTAAGTCTGAACGCGTACCAAATAGTTAAGAACATGTAATTTGCTTTTTAATCCCACTAATTGAAAAAAGACGCTATACAAATTTTTATACCTGGTGTTTCCAACTTCGCTGGTAAGTATGCTAATGGTCAAAAATAGATGTCTTTGGATTTTTAAACCAAAGCGAGGCACAGGCTGCTCATTCTCGCGTTCATCATACGCCCCGTATACTAGTGTTAGCCCAGCGGTTTAAATTCTTCCACTAAAATTAAGGCGGGTTGAGGTGAGCTGAGTTGAGTTAAGGCAATATGAGAGGATTTTAAAAATCTAAAAATTACTTTGTAACAGACTCTTCTATTGCCTAATTGGTCTAAGGTCTATTGGTCCTATTCATAAAAAATTAAATAGATTTACGAAAGTGACATTTTCATACAAATTTTCGGATGTATGAAAAATTAAGCTCTTCTTAATTTTTTGTTTTTGAATTTCGGCGTATATGTAGAAACCAAAATTTCGTAATAACTTTTGAAATTCTAACCCTTTCTTTTACGTTGCCACTGCCTGACAGTATCCTGGCGTAAAAATTGGAATTTTTCCTGAGTTTGTGTGCGGTATAACAAAATCTGTTTGTATGCGAGCTCAGCTGCATGTTTGATAGCTTTGACGTCAATCAACGGCAACAACTGCACTGACGAATCATGCAAATACATACCAGTTTACCGACGGAGTAAGACTCCTTTCAAGAAAATTTATAGAACGCATGTTTGACATTGCACTGCTTTTTCTAACATATACATACGTATGTATGTACATTTATATGTATGTGGGAATGGACGTATGCGTTTGTTATATAGTTGTACGCATGTATTGGCATGCATGTCTGACGTTCACTTCCCTACATATCCTGTATGCATACATACCTACATATGCTCATATATGAATTTATACATAATTTCATTTGCATGATGTGTGTGTGTAACTAAGTGGATTTTATTATCTAAATTATTCTATTGTTTGTTAGTTATAATGGCATTTCCTTTCCTTTACTCTGAACCTTTAAAAAAATGTGGTTCGCGGTTCGGTGATTCTGACTGGAAGGGGTGTCATCACGACGCGTATTGTTGACTTCTGCAAAGGAAATAAGTCATAATTACATTAAAAAAAAATGCGTTCATTTCACAATTCTTGCCTGAGTCGTTTCAAATTTGTTTAATGAATAAAAACTTGATATTTAAACAGAGAAATGGAGATAAATTCGTACATACAGTTGTGCATGCTTGACTAATTAGGTTTTGGCTACTTTTCTTTCGTTTATTTAATGTTTGTTATTCTTTTATAAAAGTATGCTAGACAAAATAAGAAGTTTGAAATTTCGATTTAGATTTCTTCTGAGAGCTACTCGGGGTTAGTTAAGAAGTATGAGCCAATAATTTGCATCAAATCGCATGTCTTAGCCTTCTGTCAGCGCCTTCTGAGCTGACATGAGTCACGTCTGTCCAAGAGTTAATCACAAGGGGATCAGACTTGTCCTCAGTTACTAACTAGCGGGTGATAACATTTCCAGGGTACATTGCATTTGGAAATCGTCAGTCATGTAGCTACCAAAGCTGCTGTAGCCCCAAATGGATCTAAGTAGATAATAAGAAAGTAGGTCAGACATAAACGGACCAGTTGTGAGTGTATCCCAATTGCGTTTAGCGCGCTAACAGCCGCTTGACAATCAGAGTAACTCAAACTGATACCACACTCTTCAAGAGAACAATCCCACTGCTTCTTATACGACAGCTAATTCAGCCTGACAATCACTGCAGCAGTCCAGAAGTCGTAACTTAGAGTTGATGGAGAGCTTACATCAGAAGACCTGTGTAAGGAAGTTCACTGCCCGCTTTTTCCAGTCATCCCACTTCACTTAATCATATCTTGACGGAATGAGTGTAGACAAGAATCTACTAGCTACTATTTCGGAGACGCAGTAATCTGTGTAGTCAGGAATGCTATCGAAACCCTGTAGAGCTTCGCAATGTCCAGCCTCCGTGCTTATTAAGCCGCCGGTTCCTGGTTGCAATGTTGACATGTGCTATGCTCAATATGGCGCAAAGCATCAGCGTAGTAGTAGCTCTTAGTGGCCTCTAGTGAATTCCACCGGGGAAGGATTACGTAAGCATAATAATCTTAGCTTAACTAGGGTTTCGTAGAGCCAATGAAATAATTTGGCAAATATACCCAATGACTTATCCATAGCTCCCCTGTCTCACGCTTTCCTAAAAGTTTGGCTTTGACGATAGCTTCCGGTCCAGCATCAGTTCTATGTAAGTACTTGACCCTGTCAAAGCGCTGCAGGCGAAAAACTCGCCTCATTAATTAGTAAATCCATTGGAATATGAATCAGTATAAAGATCAGTAGCTATGATTATCGATGCTAGTACCACTCTATGTTGTTATTATTTCTTTTTCTTTGTTTTATATGAACAATTAATGCTTTGAGGTGTTCGAAAAAAAAAACTCATATTATCAGATTATTATAATGGGAATATAAATATGAAATGAAAAATCTATCAACACACTCTTATCAAATAGAGATGGTTGATCAATAGAAAGTAATTAATTAGTATTTTGCACTGTAATAGCTTGTTTTGTAATTGCTTCAATGATATTTTCACTGCTATCTGCAGCTTACATCTATAACTTTGGACAAGACACTTTTTGGACAAGACACTTTTTGAATTTTATTTAACGAAAAAATATGCTTGATTTTAGAAATATGAAAGTCATGATAAATATATGTAGTTAAAAAGGCACATCCTTCTTGCAACCGCAATTGCCCTAAAATCTGATTAAATCATGAAGAAAATGAATACTACACGTACCTACATAATTGCATACATATGTATGCTTTTTGCACTTTTACATAAATTCGGAAGGTAGCTTTTAATTAGAAATCGTATATGCATTTTTACAATATATTTAGTTCATCAGAATATAATTAAGATATATATGTAACTAACCTTGGCTTTTATACTGGAAGTGGTTACATGTAATTTATTGTGTTGCTGTGATGCAAATTTCAACATTTTGTGGCATATCTGGAAAAAGAAAAACAAAACAATTTTTAATTATAAATTAGCTTTGGGTTGGTTAGCTGCTTAACAAAATCTGCAAGTTATTTTCCATTTTGATTAGAAAGCAGTTTTAGCTCTTACGTTCTAATTTCTGTATACAACTTGTAATGTACTCGGTTGTGTATAAAAGCTAAAACAGACGGCAGCGTTAATACCCCAATAATACATTAGCTGTAATATTACTGCTACAAATAAAATGACTTCAGTAAGCCTGACGTTTGAAACACGTGTATTCCAAATGCTGTAGCTTATTTACCGACAGTTATATCTTAAAAAATAATGATTATTTTACGATTTTTATTTTTACGCTCAAAGATAGTAAGAAAATAATTAATATTATTTTTTTCCCTTAAGAATAATTATTATTCCTATTCGGAGGTAGCGGACTAAGTCTCAAAGTTTTCCTGCCAAATTTTCAGCTAATTGTGTCTGTACGATCGTTTGAGTGGAAAAATATAACTCAATAATAACTATTATTATTAAGCGAAAAAAAAAGGAACAGTCCAGCGCCTTCGTCTTGGTCTGCAGGCTGTATCGGAGATACACCCGCTAAATTTAAACGTAGAATACGTGGTATGGTTAAGAGCATATCCAAGTCAAAAACGAAAGCACAAACTAAGAAAAAAATATCGATAACAAAAGCGATAATAAAATCGATAACAAAATCGATAAAAATATCGATAACAAAATCGTTAACTAAATCGATTACAAAATCGATAAAAAATCGATTACAAAATCTATCGAAAAATCGATTACAAAATCGATAACAAAATCGATTCCAAAGTCAATAACAAAATTGATAACAAAATCTATCAAAAAATCCATTACAAAATCGGTAATAAATTCGATAAAAAAATCGATAAAACTATCGATAACAAAAGCGATGGCAATATCGATAGCAAAATCGGTAAAAAAACCGATAAAAATACCGACAACAAAAGCGATAACAATATCTATAGAAAAATCGATAAAAATATTGATGACAAAAGCGACAAAAATATCGATAACAAAAGCGATAACAATATCGATAGCAAAATTGTTAAAACAATCAAGAAAAATATCGATAACAAAACCGATAAATAATCAATAATAAAATCAATAACAGAATCGATTACAAAATCGATAACAAAATCGATAAAAATATCGATCATTATATCGATAAGTTCCGAAAATATCGATAGCAAAATCAATAACAACATCGATACAAATTTCGATAACAAAATCGGTGAAAATATCGGTAACAAAACCGATAAAAATATCGATGGCAAAATCGATTAAAATATCGGCAACAAAATCTATAAAAATATCGATAACAAAATCGATAGCAAAATCGATAACAAAATCGATAAAAATATCGATAACAAAACCAAACAGATCCACATTAACTGAAACTTTCATATGTACGTATATATGCATTTACATATGTACATACGCTGCGATCAAAAGCCGCATTACATACGCATACATACTTTTTGTCTCCTTCCCACACTTCCAACATATGCACGTGTTTGCAAAATGATGACGAGGTGATTTTGTATGGAAAATCATTTATGCCCATATATTTGAATAAAATAAACATATATAGAAGATATCAACCAATACTTCCCATATACCAAACGAAAGGAAAACTCTTGAATTTTTGATTAAAGAAAACAAAAACAAAATCATTCGAGCGGTTTTCGAGCATTTTGGTAATGAAAAAAATTTGCAAATTTTTTCAACAATTTTTTGCCTTAAAATGCTCAATATTTGTTAAATTTATATAAAATTTGTACCCGATAATATTTCTACTGCTCCAAAGAACCTATATCCCGAAAATGAAAGTTATATATGCCAACAATAAGTTGCTAGAGCACTTTAAAGGCTCAAAATTGACCCCAAAATAAGGCAATGTTTACCGTTGTTTTTACGACAGAAACCGAATTGGTTATTTACAAAAATGAATCTGTCGACAGGTTTGGAATTTTATCTTTGAAACGCCACACTTTTCTTTGAAATCGCTTTATTAGTTCTCGTGCAATAAGCGTTTTTGTGAAGCTCTAAAAATTACAACTACAACATTTGAACATAGCCCCCATACCTTAAGGTAAGACGTATTCTACGTCAAAATCATATAATAATAATTAAATGCAGATTTAAATTAATTAACTAATTATTAAAAATTAGCAATCGAGAAGCAGGTTAACCATCAGCTGATATTATATTTCTTATGACCAGTATATTCTGTGAGTTGATATTCAATAGTCGGTAAAAGTGGTGTGCCTGGGCCACACTACTTCGATTAATTTTAAGTTAATTTCATACTGCAGAAATTTGAATAAAATACTCTTAAGATTCGTCTTCGTCATCGTACGTAATAATAATGGCAGTGATTATGGTAATGGCAGTAGTAATGATAATGGTAATTGAAAAGGTATTAGTAATGGTACTGGTAATGGTGTTAGTAATGGTGATGGTAATGGTAATGATAATGGTAGATAAAGAAGTAGTAATTATAATTGTAATGGCAATAGTCTCGGTCATCATATTCATATTCGTACTCGACTTCATCTTCGGCTCCGCATTCGTCATCGGCGTCTTCGTGTTCATCCTTGTCTTTCTCGTATTCATCTTCGTATTCGTCTTCAAATTTGTTTAGACGAAAAAATAAAAATTTCCATGAAAAAATCAAAATGAACTATGCACGTTTGGCAAGTTGAATCATGACAATTTTGAGAAACAATTTTTCTATTTTGTGTAGCACAAATAAAAGTCAAGTAACAAAAAAAACCCGTTCCCAGGCAATGAACCATACATAAAAAAAAATCGAAGTCATCTCATAAAAAATAAGAAAATTGGTTGGCATCTCTGCAACAGCTCTGAAAGCATTTCTTTTGCTAATTTAAAAAGTTCTTTCTCCTAAAAACTTAAACTTTGCTATTACAATTTGTCATTGATGTCGACGATTTACAGCAGAACACGACAAAGTTAATCCAAAGCTTATAAGTAAATAAAATTTACACAGGAAGTCAGAGCAATAAAATTAGTAAGGAAATTAAAAATTTAGGATTAAGTATGTATGTACCTATGTATGCACAAGTTCAGAAGAAAATGTAGATAATTTACGCAAACGAAGACAAATGACTTATGGAAATTGCTTTTATTTTAATTGCAGCGGATAAAGAAAGACAAGGAGGGAAGGCGAATAAAAGTATGCGTGCATAAATATGTATGTATGTATGTGTGTATGTAAATTAGTCAGCAACAATTTGGTGGGAGGGTTTTCGTCTTTTGAAAACACTTTTCTATTGAGGTATGTATGTATGTATTTCTATACATATGTATGTGTGAATATATAAAATGAGTAATGAAAATAAAGGCTGACATTTGGGAGTATGCTAAATGCCCAAAGGAATGAGTGAGCTGCTTTTAAACTTTTGCGATTGATACATACGCACTCTGAAATTACTTACGTATGTGACTTTGTAGATAAGCTTGCTTGTATGTACATATGTTTGTACTAAATATTTGCTTGTTTGTATGAATAGAGGCAAATGACATGTATGTATGTATGTGCGTACGTTTGTGGAATTTGACATTGCTGCTTAAACTTGCGTTTAAATGACACGCAAATTGTCAATATTGTTTGTTATGCAAATTCGAACATATTTACCACTCTTCAGGCATTGTTGGAAAAGTGTGGAAATTTAATTTTATATCGAAACTTTTGACAGCGCAGCATACAATTGGGCAACGAGCTTTCCTACAACGGTTGCCATTTTGTTCGAAATGTAACATTTTTGGCAAACTTTTCCTAATTTGGTACAGTCCTATATAGCTTTCAGATCTGGTATATTTTTGGATTCTAGTAAACGAAAAATTACATACCTACATTATATGTATGTCTATTTAAAGATCAAGCCTATATAGTCCACAGCCGTTCAACGGTCTGTCAAAAGGATACACAGCAGGGCTCCTAGGGGGGAAAGGCAATCTAATGCTGGATTTCCACTAGGCATTAAATGACAAAAATAACAAATGACAAAGTTGGGCATCAAAAAATGATCGTGTCATTACATTAAAAAAAGCTAATTAAGTTCATTTCCACATGGATTTTTTTTAAATGGCATACATTTTTTGGCATTTCAAAGCCTATTGAAAATTCGGCATAAGAAATTTCTAATACCCTATAGAGTAGTCTCGGAAAGAGAATTTCCGAGCTACCTCGCAGGACTTTAGGTTCTGTGGCTGGAACAAAATTTGCGATTGCGCATGTATCAAGGTCAAAGACTTCTACTGGTCAGCGTCTCCGACCAGAATCTGGACAATAGATCTTAATAGGCCACTTTTTTCCGAAAAAAAAACTATTTGGTAGTCATTATAGAGAATTTAACTTAATAAAGGATTTTTCCAGCACTAAAAGATATGTAGTTGAGAAAAACCTCGATAAACGGGTTTTAACTACATATACATACACAACTCTAACGTGTATTTGGAAAATATTTGAATAACTAGCAAACACCCGGCGTGCTTCGCTCCACCTTCAAAGTATTTTTGTGTTTTTTCTTCCTCTCACTACATCAAAAACTCTTAATTAATATTGTTTTGAAAGTATATACAAAGAAGGCAGATTTTTTGGTTCGATTTTGAAAACAAATTTAATTTCAGCTTTTTATGGAAGATAGATTTACGGCCTTTGAATATTTTTTGCGCATTAACACACCTTTGAAGAAAGTGAGCGTTCTATAGACTCGAGTTATAAGAATATGTTGCCAATTCCTTCTTCACTAAAATTGTTTGATGTTTGGCTTTTGGATAGGTGGCAAGCTTTCACAAGTATTACCTAGCAAAGCTTTCTCAAACACTTTTCATTTGGTATAATTCTTGGAATAGTTCATTAATTTCAATATTTTTAATTTAATTAAATTTTTAATTTACCTAAATTTTTTCTATAGGTGGCAACCCGTCTCAAAAATATTTGCGAC